ACACAACATCTTTGTTGGTATGTGGTGCTGCTGAGGATCGAACCCGGGCCGCACACATGCTAGGCGAGCGCGCTACCGCTTGAGCCACATCCCCAGCCCCACTACTTTTCTTTTTGTACCAGGGATTGAACCCAGGGGTGCTTGACGGCTGAGCCACATCCCCAGCCCATTCTTTTTAGTATTTTATTTAGAGAGAGGGTCTCACTGAGTTACTTAGGGCCTTGGTAAGCTGCTAAGGCTGGTTTTGAACTCAAAATCCTCCTGCCTCAGACTCCCCAGCTACTGGGATTACAGGCATGTGCCATCGTCCACGGGTGTGGGGAGCCACATTGAGTGACCACGCCTTCCGGTCCTGATGCACCACGGGGATCTGAAAGATCACTGCGGTCTGTGGTAGAGCCATGGCTCCTGACTCTGCTTTTCCCCTGCTCAGATAGCAAGGCCAGTCTTCCGAGCAGATACACCCCCGGGGCTGAGCTACACTCACTTATTATTTTGTAATACTTCCCCTTTGTCCTGTTTGGGATAGAAGGTTCCATGGAAATGCCCTTTGTGTGTCCCCTTCTCTTGCTCTGCCCTTGGGTGTGGCCTTCCTAGATGTCAGTCAACCTGCTGACAGCAGACCTCAGGAAGCCAGACTCAGCCCCCTGAATCCTGACCCCAGCCTCATTTGAATGGCTTTTCCCCAATAAAAGGGCTCAACTCTCTCTCTCTCTCTGTCTCTCTCTCTCTTGTTCCAAGGACACCTAAGGTCAGAGGAGCCATCACAGAACCCAAAGATAGTAATTTTGTGCAGCCCAGTTCACCTGGAGGAACCTGAGTGTTTTAGTCATGGAATGCGACCACGGGGTGGGGGGGGGGGCAGGTTTACACCAGGGAGATGGGCACGGCGCCCCCGAGTTATCGCTGAGAGCAGGCGGCTCCCCTGGCCAGCGCACCAGGTCACCCTCTAGGTGTGTCTCCCAAAGCACTTATGCATGTCCAGACTTTCTGAGATTTTCCCTGCAAGCTGCCTGGGACCCCCTGTCCATGCCCGTCTCCTCCCTTCCACTGGAGGAAGCAGCCCCTGCTCCTGAAAACCCTGTTCTGACCAACGTCTCCTCCCACGTGGCCAGTGGCCAGATGCCTGCCCCAGACCAGGATGGGGCCCACCATGCACCTGCTCCTCAGCGCTGTTGATGACGACTAGTTGGGCCCCCTCTTCCTGGCAGGCGGTGGCGGAGTCGTGCCAGTTCCGCTGGGACTTGGAGAAGAAGTAACAGTGTCCTTGGAAGAACGTCCAGTCCCAGGGGCAGGGGCGGCACAGGCGGTCTGTTGGGGGAGAGGGTCAGGACCCGTGCTGGGAGGCCATGTTCCCATGTCTGCCCACCTTCAAGCCCTGGAGTCAGGGCCCTCACATGACCCTGCACCTGGGTGACTGTCCCCTCCCCATTCCCTGATGTCCCTTCCCCCCAGGAGCCCCCAAGAGTCCTGGTCCCATCTCCTCCAGCCTGGGACGAGCAGGGCTCCAGAGCCCAGGAGACTGGCCTGAGTGCCTACTGTGTGCACGGCCCTCTGTGAGCACCAAGGGCCACTGTCACTGTTATCCTGTGTTCCCACAAAATAGCCCAGGAAACTGAGGCTCCCAGAGGGCTGGTGACCCGAGCAAAGTGTCACTGCATGGAGACCCTCTGGGGCCCTGGGAGGGCGGTGTCTGGTCACTCACCGACTCCTGCCTTCAGCTGGGTCAGCTCCTGGCACACCTTCTGTCCCTGGGAGCTGGGGACCCTGGAGACTGTGCCAAGAGAAAAGAAGCCCCGAGTGCTGGACCTGCTGGCTTCCATGCACTGCCCTGGCCCCCAGGGACCTGGTGTCTGAGAGCCAAGGCCTTCTTAATCCCAGCTGGAGTCGAGGACCCCTGACACCCAGGGAAGGCGGGACCAGCACCCCCCTGTGCTGCTCCCCACCCCTGCACCAGAGGTGTGGGGGCCGAGCACACCCTAGAACCTGCTAAGGGTTGAATCCCAGCGTCCATCCCACCTCCTCCTGCCTTGGCCGCCCAAGTCCAAGGGCCAGACCACAGAGCTCCAAACCTCAGGGGCTGACCTTGGGCAAGGACGGCCACCAGGAGCCCAGCCAAGACCATGAGGGAGAGCAGCTGCAGCCCCAGGAGGGCATAGCTGGAGCTCAGGCACCCTGAGGAGGGAAGGAAGGGGCTCAGCACACCAGGGCCCCTGGGACAGCCTGGCCTGGGCCTCGTCCACGGACCCAGGAGTCCAGGTCTCATCCTCCACCTTCCCAGAACCCAGGAGCCCAGATTCCAGCCTCCAGTCTGGGCTTCCACCTGCCAGGATCCCAGAGCCCAGACACTGACCTCCTCGTCCCCGGGACGCAGCTGCCCAGGAGCCCCGTCCCTCCTCAGCCCCCTCCCTGCTCTACCTGCAGAGCTGCCTGCTCTGGAGGGCGGCTGGAGTGCGTGGTGGCTGAGGGAGCCTCTGGCGCTGCTGGCCGCCAGCTCCTCCTCTGTGTGGGCAGAGCATCCGTCAGAGCGGGACAGGCTGCCCCCCAGGCTGGTGCCCGTGGCCCTCCAGGCTCCCGAGTCCCAGCCCAGCCTCACCCAGGGGGTCCAGCTGCTGCACCCGCACTTGCTTGAAGTCACTCATGGTCACTGCTGTCCCTCAGTGTCCAGGACGGCTGGCACCACAGCCTTTATCCTCACCCCTGTAACTCCCTGCCTGTGGCTACTCCCCCTCAGGAAGAAACAGGAAACTGGGTAGGGACTTCGGAAGAAGCCACAGGGAGGGGACCAAACACCTGTCACAGTGCAGCACGTGCCCTGTGTTCCCGGAATTTCAGGGAAGGACTGCAAGGTTTTGGGTCCCTGGCTGAAAGAACCGGCCCCCTCCTGGTCAGGCCACTCTGGGTGCCATTAATGAAATGGGTCATTTGTCAAATTAAGCTGCTTGGTTAAGCTTCGCCCATCTGGTGGCGGTGAGCTAGCCACGCCCCCCCTCTTCCCAGAAAAGCTGGCCCTGGCCCTGCTGCCTCCGTTTCCTGATGTCGCCACTTCGAGTGCTGCCTGCCGGTTCCTCCTGGTGCTTCGTGTCCCACTGGGAGTAAACATCAGACGCTGGCGGATTTAGAGGCATCCCACAAACAGCTGACCTGTTGTGGTCAACGTCAACGTGGTCAGCATCTTCCAAACAGGAGAGTCACAGCATCTGGCACCGTCCAGAGGAGCCAAAGGGGATGTGATGTCCAGATCCCAGCAGTGTCCTGGGTGGATTCTGTAGCAGAGGAAGGAGGTTGGAGAAAACGGCGAGACCCACCTACCACTTCCAGTGACTGTGTACCTGTCTCAGGAAGAGGTCAGCATGGGGCACCTGCCAGGTCTCCACCTCCCAGCCAGACTCGGGAAAGGTCTATGCTACTTTTGCAAAATTACCAAAACTAGTATAAAATAAAATTCCTATGTAAATATTAAAAATAAGGCGGCAAATCCAGTGTTTCATCATAACCTGTGCACGTGTTTTTAATTTCTAAATTAAACATAACACTCCTCCGGTACAAGGTGCAAGTCTTCAATCCATATCTCAGGTCACTTTTATCAATGAGAGCACACCTCCAGCCTCCTCTCGGAGGAGAGTGAAAACATCTCAGGACACTGAAGATGTCCTTGATCCTCCTCCATGTCAGTCCCACTCAGAGCCCCCTTCAAGATTGGTTCTTGGAATGGAAAAGCACCAACGCCAGTCTTAGGGGCGTGTTCTGGATGTCTGAAGGCCTTTACTCCTTTGGGAGATACGTGCATGTTGTTTCATGCTTTGATAGTTTTTTTTTCTTGGCTGTATAGACTTCCATCTGCCCAGACCCAATGTTTTCTTTCATTTGTCTGTAGGTGGCCGCTTGGGTTCTCACGATTTTGGACTGTGGTGAGTTCAGCTGCTCGGAACTCTTTTATGCTTTCTCCTGAAGACTAGGTGACTCCCTTTGGTCCACAGTGTGGACTGTGGGGACTGACTGTCTAGGATTAATTTCCAGCTCCACCATTCACCAGCTGTGTGACCTTGAGCCAGTGTCCTGACCATGCTGGGCTTCCAATTGACCCAAACTGTAAAAAAGGAGGTCAGATCATCCATCACAGTCTGGAGAGATTCAACAAGGGAGTACGGGAAGCAGAAAAGAGCCTCACTGTAGGGGACATGAAGCACATGGACGCAAGCGTGCTTCTGCCCCAAGTCCCAAGTCAGCACCATAAGTGAGGATGTCAGCAAAGCCTGGGTCAGAGAGGAGGTGTTTCTGGGAAACAGAGGCGTTGCCGGCCCACCCTGGCCACAGTGGAGAAGGAATGAAGAGTCGCTTTTTAGAAAAATAAGTCATTGCTTTCAAAGACGACAGTAGCCTGGCCGCAGCACCAGTGAACCAGTTCTACCTGCCTCAGAGCCCAGGCCACCTCCAACCCCTCCCAGAAGTGGCTGGAACCTCGAGCCCCTGCCTGCCGTGGGGTGGAAGAGGCACAGGCTCCTCCCTCTAGCCTCTTCTGGGCCCTTCCCCAGTTCCCTGTTCCTCTTCCTGACAGTGCATCCAGAGAGGGGTGGGGTGGGAATAAAAGCTGGGTCCCCGCAGCCGGGGGCACTGAGGGACACCAGCGACCATGACTGATTCTAAGGAAGTGAGGATGCAGCCACTGGGTCCTCCAGGTGAGGCTGGCTGGGACTCTGGGAGCTGGGGACGGGGCCTGGGCGGCCAGCGTGGTCGCAGTCTGCCCAGGCGCTGACTGACACTCTGCCCGTGCGGACGAGGACAGCTGAGCACCAGAGGCACGTCCACCTGCAGATGACGTCAACTTCTGGTTGCGATAGTTTGGCAGGTAGAGCCGGCATGCGGCTGAGGAGGAGTGGACAGCTCCTCCAGGACACTTGGGTCGGGGACTCTAGACCCCGAGTTTGAAACCCCAGACCCTTTGGGGGAAATTGGGAGCTGGGCTGCCGCAGAAAGGTCGAGATGAAGGCCTGGGATCCGGTGCCCTGGGGATCAGGAGACGGGGGCCAGGCTGTCCCTGCACCAGGCTGAGGCAGGGACGCGGGCGCTGGAGTCCCATCCTTCTCTCCTCAGGGTGTCTGGGCCACGGCCACACCTTCGTGCTGCAGCTGCTCGGCCTCACGCTCTTCGCTGGGCTCCTGGTGGCTCTTCTTGTCCAAGGTCAGGGCCGCCTGAGGGTTGGTGTGGTCCTTCAGCTGGAGCCAGGGGGAGGTGGGCGAGGCAGGATCTGGTCCCTCAGCCTCTTCTGGATGCTTGTTCTTACGCAGGGGAGCGAGGGAGGCACAGGGAGGCTCCTGGGCCACTCGCCCTCCTGGTGTATCTGGTGTATCTGGGTGACCTCATCCTCCAACAGGATTAATTAATTAGACATAAGGGATGTCCGTAGGGGTCCCGTGCGGGCTGTGGCACACAGTCGGTGTTTAATAGTTGCAATCTATTTGTTGGGCACAGTCTCCAAGGTCCCCAGCTCCCAGGAACAGGAGCAGGAGCTGGCGAAGCAGGAGAAGGTGTACCAGGAGCTGACCCAGCTGAAGGCAGGAGTCGGTGAGTGACCAGACACTGCGTCTCCCGGGCCTCAGAGGGTCTGTGCTGTGGGGCTTTGCTTGAGTCCTTGGTCCTCTCTGAACCTCAGTTTCCTGGGCTATTTTATGGGAACACAGGATAACAGTGACAGTGGCCCTTGGTGCTCACAGAGGGCCGTGCACACAGTAGGCACTCAGGCCAGTCTCCTGGGCTCTGGAGCCCTGCTCGTCCCAGGCTGGAGGAGATGGGACCAGGACTCCTGGGGGCTCCTGGGGGGAAGGGACATCAGGGAATGGGGAGGGGACAGTCACCCAGGTGCAGGGTCATGTGAGGGCCCTGACTCCAGGGCTTGAAGGTGGGCAGACATGGGAACATGGCCTCCCAGCACGGGTCCTGACCCTCTCCCCCAACAGACCGCCTGTGCCGCCCCTGCCCCTGGGACTTGACGTTCTTCCAAGGACACTGTTACTTCTTCTCCAAGTCCCAGCGGAACTGGCACGACTCCGCCACCGCCTGCCAGGAAGAGGGGGCCCAACTAGTCGTCATCAACAGCGCTGAGGAGCAGGTGCATGGTGGGCCCCATCCTGGTCTGGGGCAGGCATCTGGCCACTGGCCACGTGGGAGGAGACGTTGGTCAGAACAGGGTTTTCAGGAGCAGGGGCTGCTTCCTCCAGTGGAAGGGGAGGAGACGGGCATGAAGGAGGGTGGTCCCAGGCAGCTCGCAGAGGACACACACAAACTCTAAATGTGTGGGGACACCTGAAATGCCGAGAGATTCCCACATATGTGCTGACCCAGTGCCCAACAACTCAGTCTGTGGGGAGCGAGGTCCTCGTGGGTCACTCTGCCAGTTTCCCTGGTGTAAATATTCCCACCACAGCTGAGGTCAGCCCACCCATAGGATGTCACTTGTTGTAGAGCTAGAAGAGGTGACCTGCCTGACCAGCCGTCATGCACAGATACAATCTGGCTCCAGCGCTAGTCATGGGCAAGTTTGTATGGACGTGCTCAGAACAGGCGAGTCGAACGTGCAATATTACCAAGCGTGTGTTGTGAGGCCGGCTGTGTGTGTACAGTATGCCAGGCCGGACACACTGCCCACAGCATACAGACGTGGGAGACGCTCAGACGACTTGAGTACAAGTTGGAAGAGAGCGTCTTGGTCTGGTAGATTAGAAAGCTGACGGTCAGACTGAAAGAAGCACTTCCTACACCAAAAGATTGGGAGACACTAGCAGGACAATAGGGCACAGAGGCTCCTCCTGTCTCCTCCTCTTCCTCTCCAGAGCTTCCTGCAGCTGACTACAAAGAAAAGAGGCCATACCTGGATGGGGCTGTCAGACCTGAATAAGGAAGCCACGTGGCACTGGGTGGACGGCTCCCCTCTGTCGCTCAGGTGGATCCTGGGATATGAGGACACGCTATGAGGAGGGTGGGGTTGCGAAGCTGTGGCTTGACTTGTCGGTGGGCTGCTCCCCACTCCTTCGCCCGGTGCCCCAAATTCTACTATCGGAGCTGCAGGAGCAGCTTCCAGTCTGGCCTAACACAGGAAAATCACAGGACACCATTTCTGGGGAAGAGACAGATTGTTATACTCCCAGGTCCCAAGAGAGGGAGTGTCCCTGTCCCTCACACCACAGGGGACACGTGGGGAGGATGTGGGGCCCGTTGGGAGGCAGAGGGTTCAGAAAAAGGGAGGAAGAGGAGAGGCAGAGCGAGCAGCCTGGTGAGGGGCTAGCTTGAGTCGTTTCCGTGGGCTCTGGGCTGTAGGTGCTGTCCCCAGACATCTCATATGTGGCCTGGGAAGGTATCTGAGTGGCCCAGAGTGCCAGAGCCCACTAAGCAAGGTGTCTGGGGTGTGGAGTTTAGGATGCTGGTTGGATTGTGTCTGAAGGTCCCACCCTGATTTGGGGGGCTCCTTTTAAGCATGGGGGACGACAAGGGGCAGGGCATGTCATTGGGCGTCCTGAGCAAGGCTTGCATGCATGTGCGCGCAGGGCAGATGTGTGCGCAGGACAGATGTGCGCGCAGGACAGATGTGCGCGCAGGGCAGATGGTTTCCAGAAGCCAGAACACAGCTCACAGAGGGGGCTGGGCAGAGGCTCATGATTCAGGTGGCTTTGCAGATTCATGAAGTACTGGAACCCAACAGAGCCCAACAACTTGGGACAGGAAGACTGCGCGGAATTCGATGGCGACGGCTGGAATGACGCCAAATGTGATATCAGCAAATTCTGGGTCTGCAAAAAATCTGCACTTTCCTGCTCCCACGAGTGACAGCCAGTCCCTCTCTGCTGCCCTAGCAGCTCCCACCTCCTCGCCAGGTGACCGAACTTCACTCTCATTTCTGCCAGCCCCTCCTCTCTGGGTGAAGGCACGGAGATCTCAACTCCAGCTCTGGGTCTCTTCTAGGAGATTTCCCCAGAGAGGCTACGCCATGGCCTCCCTCCCTCCTGTGCCTGCGGGCTCCCTCTGGCTTTGAGGCTGTGGTTGTGAATGACGAGGTGCCTTTTTGTTCATACAGCTGCACAGGTGTTAGGTCGGTGGTGGCGACTTGGTGGCAACTTAGTGTCGACTTAGAACAAAGCAGCCCGGGCGGGAAAGGAACATCAATCAGGTGCCGGAGGAAACGCCTGTCAATCATCGAGATCTTCTGACTAAAGCCTGTCAATCATCAGGACCCCCTGGCCAATCCTGGAGTTCAGCCAACTCCCCCGACCAACTCCAAGGGACACGGGACCCTAAAAACACCTTTCCCTGTCCCAAGCCCTTCCCTTCCTGCTGTAAGCCCCATAAAAGTCCAGTCTGGTCCAGCTCCCACACGATTTCTCCTCAGACCCTTCTCCTGACCCCTCTGTGGGTCTGATCGAGTTCTGCCTGGGAGTGACATCTCAGTAAAGCATCCTTGGTGGTCATTTTAAATCTGCCTCCTTTGGTCGCTGCCCACCTCACCTGATCTGACAACAGGTGCACTTGGATTTAGGTCAGTGAGCCGAGTTAGGATGTGGCTTGGCAACCTCGGCACAAGGCTGGTCACCAGAAAGTCCACATGGATGATCAGCAGGTTGGAACTTAGAGCCCCCATTGGCTCAGCTCTGGGGAGCCGGGGGGTGTTGGCCCCTGAGCTCTGGGAGGACTCTTGTAGCAAGGAGACTCGGTCAGACCAGGCTGGTGAGGACAGGGAGGAGCTGCAGGCGGCCCTCTGGGGACAGGGAAGCCCCACACCACTCCTCCCTCTTTCCCCTGCTGTATACACCATTTCCCTTTGTCTGCATCTGAATTCTATCTTTTACAATAAACCAGAAAATATAAGCAACATTTTTTTTTCCTGAGCCACCTGGAAAATTACCAAACATGAGGATGCTGGAAGAACCCAAACTCTGTGGTTGGCCTGACGAAGCATGGTCAGCCCGTGCACGCGGCAGACACCTGCAGGAAGTCAGTATTGTGGGAGGAAGCCCAGACCTGGTGGAATCCGCTGCTGCCCCTGGTAGCTGGCGCCAGAGCTGGAGGACGGCTGGTGGAAAATAACCACCCCACAGGGTCTTGACTTAACATCTGAGCAGCCAGCTTCCATGTTAACCACCACCTTATGAGATAAGTTTGCTTCCCTGTACTTCCTCTTACCCGACCCCCCACCCCGTTACTGACCTACCCCATGTACCGTATTCAGCTGCACAGGTGCACTTGAATTTAGGACACGACCCCTTGGCTCTGGAGAGTCCCAGGTGCCATTGACCTAAGCCAATCCCATGCTATTCCCACCGCCCAGCTCTGACATCCCCAGCCTGTCCCACAGCGCCACAGCTCCAGCTCCAAAGCCCGACCCCACAAAAGCTGAACCCCGAACATCTCAGAGCCTCTCTCCTCTCTGGAGAGGGATGGCCTCTATTTGTCAGCTGTGACAAATAAACCTTGGTGAGGGTCTCTGCCTGTCTCTGTCCTTCATTTATCGCTGGCCTGTCTCCCGCTGTCCCTCACTGTCCTTCCCTCCACCCGGGGCTTCCTGTGCCCTAGTGTCGACCCAATGTCCCTCCATAATCAACTCGCATTGCTCTCTGTTCCTACCTGTGCCGTTTTGTTCCTTATCCTTGCTTTTGGCATTTGGCTTCTCTTGTGTTGGTTTCTTGATATTATTGGAAGGCTATTTCCCCGGCCAAAGAACAACATGATAACAGCGGAGTTGATCTCCATAGGTTTTGTGGTCAATTTTAGAGTGGGGCCACCTGTCATTCCATGAAAACGGGGTGAAACTTCCAATCTTTGGAGTAAAAAGCCAAGCACAGAGGAACACACCTGTAATCCCAGCAGCTCAGGAAGTTGAGGCAGGAGGATTGCAAGTTCAAGACCAGCCTCAGCAACTTGGAAAGTTCCTAAGCAATGTAGCAAGACATTGTCTCAAAATTAAAAAAAAAAAATAAAAAAGGACTGAGGACGAGGGTCAGTGGTTGAGCACCCCCCGGGTTAAGTTGACAGTACATAAAAATAATAATAATAAAGTCCAAACAAAACAAACATACAAAAAACAAACCTCAGTGTGTTCTTTTCTTCTTGTTGAGTTTTAGGAGTTCTGTGTGATCTCCGGACAGGGGTCCTTCACGTGTTTTTGTTTGCATTCTTTTTCCTGATGTGTGCGTGCGTGTGCGTGTGCGTGTGCATGTGTGTGTGTGTGTGTGTGTGTGTTACTCGGGACTGAGCCCAGGTCCTGTGCATACTAATCAAGCACTCCACCACTGAATGACACCCTTTCAAATTTTATTTTGAGGCAGGGTCTCACCATGTTGCCCAGGCTGGCCTTGAGCTTCCCATCCTCCGGCCTCAGCCTCCTGAGCAGCAGGGATTCCGATATGCACCGCCACACTCGGCTTCCCCCTGGGTTCAGCGAGAGTGCTCCTGACATTTCTCATGCGTCCTGCTGTGGGGGGTTGATGGACACCACCATTTCACATTAGGGACACTTCATTTCTATTTCTAGTTGCCGAAGAGTTTTTAAAGTCTCAGTCAGGGGCTGGAATTGCGGCTCAGTGGCAGAGCGCTTGCCTCTCATGTGTGAGACCCTGGGTTCAATCCTCAGCACCCCGTAACACAATATCAATCAATAAAAGTATTTTTAAAAGTTCCAATCAGGAATCATGTTGTGTTTTACCTATTTTTTTTTCAATCTATTCAAGCACTGAGGTGGGTGTTTTACTTTAAATTTTTAAAGCAGTATGATAACGGATTTTCTGATGAAGTTCATGCATTAAATATATATATACACACACACAGAAGCAATGATGATTCAGCCCAAGTCCCGAGTCAACAGCACCCTAAATGAGGACATCAGCAAACCAAGGCAGCAATGCCTGGGGCCAGAGGGGGCATGTTTCAGGGAGGACGGGAGGCCTGCTGCCCACTCTCACCGTGAGTGAAGAAGGAATAAATATGGAGCTTGACAAGACGTGGGTTTTGTTAAGAACATCCGCAGCTTCGCCGTCCCGAGAGTGGACCGGCTCTCCTACTCTGGAGGCAGGCCACACAGCCGCTCCCTGAGATCTGGAATGTGGCCCCTGTCATGGTGTGTCCCAGGCTCGGCCCCCTCCCTCGGCCCTCTTCCTGTGTCCTACCCAGTTCCCTGTTTCTCTTCTTGACGCACAGTAAGTTCAGGGGGTGGGAATAAAGGCTGTGGTGTCACCAGCCCTGGGCACTGAGGGACAGCGGTGATCATGAGTGACTTCAAGGAAGCCAGGGTGCAGCAGCTGGGTCCTCTGGGTGAGGCTGGGCTGGGAGTCTGGGAGTTGGGGGGCGGGGGTGTAAGGGGCCAGCTCGGGCCCCAGCCTGCCCAGGCTCTGACTGACGCGCTTTCAACTCAGAGAAGGGGCTGATGATGGCCAGCGGCACACGGTCTTCTGCAGAAGGCTCAGGATTCCAACTGACTTCTGCATTCAATAGCTTGGCAGGTAGAGCTGGGATGGGACCAAGAGGTGGACGGGCCCCCGGCACTCGGTTCTGGGATAGTAAGATTAGGACCCTGGACAGTGGGACCTAAAGGAGTGGAATCTGGGACAAGGACTTCAGCCACGCACACAGGCTGGTGTCCACTCCCGCATCCTGGCAGGCAGAGGCTGATCCTCTGGAGTCCTGTGCCCCAGGGAGGAGCAGGCTGTGGCCAGGCTGAGGCAGGGCACTGGACGCTGGAACACCTCTTCCTTCTCTTCCTAGGGTGCCTGGGCCATGGCCACATCTCCCTGGTGCTGCAGCTGCTCTGCCTCACGGTCTTAGCTGGGATCCTGGTGGCTGCCCTTGTCCAAGGTCAGGGCAGGCCTTAGGGTGGGGATCCCTTATCCGGGCCCTTCAGCAGCTTCCCTGGGGATTGCCTGCCCCCACCCCCCACATCAGTACAGGGGAGAGGGAGGAGGACCTGCGAGGGTCCCGGCTCCATGCACCCTTGTGCTTCGGCCTACTCTGGATGCCACTTTTCTTCGTCTTCAGTCAGAACTAAACAACACCTTGGCTCTCAGAAATGATGACCAAACAGTAGGTGTTCAACAGGTGTCGCTTATTTTCTCTTGGCACAGTTTCCAAGATCCCCAGCTCCCAGGAACAGGAGCAGGAGCTAGTGAAGCAGGAGAAGATGTACCAGGAGCTGACCCAGCTGAAGGCAGGAGTCGGTGAGTGACCAGACACTGCGTCTCATGGGGGCCTCAAAGGGTCTGTGCTGAGGTTTTGCTTAAATAACCAGCCCTCTCTGAACCTGCTTCCTCATCTGTGAAATGGGAACACAGGATAACAGTGACAGTGGCCCTTTGTGCTCACAGGTCGCTGTGCCCACAGTAGGCACTCAGGCCAGTCTCCTGGGCTCTGGAGCCCCTGCTTCTCCCAGGCTGGAGGAGATGGGACCTGGGTGCTCCTGGGGGCTCCTGGTGCAAGGGGTCCAGGGAGGGGACAGTCACCCAGGTGCAGGGTCATGCAAGGTCCCTAACTCTCCAGGGCTTGAAGGTGAGCAGACACGGGAACATGGCCTCCCAGCAGGGGTCCTGACCCTCTCCCCCAACAGACCGCCTGTGCCGCCCCTGCCCCTGGGACTGGACGTTCTTCCAAGGACACTGTTACTTCTTCTCCAAGTCCCAGCGGAACTGGCACGACTCCGTCATCACCTGCCAGGAAGAGGGGGCCCAACTAGTCGTCATCAACAGCGCTGAGGAGCAGGTGCGTGGTGGGCCCCATCCTGGTCCGGGGCAGGCATCTGGCCACTGGCCACGTGGGAGGAGACGTTGGTCAGAACAGGGTTTTCTGGAGCAGGGGCTGCTTCCTCCAGTGGAAGGGAGGAGACGGGCATGGACAGGGGGTCCCAGGCAGCTCGCAGGGGACACACAAAGTCTGGTCAAGGGTGAATGCTTGAGGAGCAACAAGGATGTTCAGGGCCCCCACTGGTGCGCTGACCAGGGGTGACAACTTGCTCTCTGGCAGAAGTGCCGTCCTCGTGAGTTACACTTGCCGACTTTCCCCATGTAGACATTCCATCACGACTGATTTCAAGCTGCCAATGGGCCGTCATTCAATGCAGATTTGAAAAGAGGTGCTGTGCGTGACCAGCTGTCACGAGCAGGGACGGTCTGACCCTAGACTTTAACCCCGGCATGAATGCATTCATGTAAACGTGCTCAGAACACATAGCCAGTGTGTGAGAGGCGAGCCAGCTGCACGTTGAGTGTGCATCCAAAACACATCTGCCCGGGGCACACAGATGAGGGAGGACCCAAGCTCCTGAACACAGGAGGGGGTTCACGGCTGCAATATGCTAGAAGACTGGAGGCCAGACTGCAAGCAGAACTTGCCACGGAGAGATTGGGGAATCACAAGCTGGCACATAAGTCCAGAGCTTCCTCCTGACTCCTCCTCCCCCCTCCAGAGCTTCCTGCAGCAGACTTCTGACATCCAAGGCTCTGCCTGGCTGGGGCTCTCAGACCTGAATAAGGAAGGCGCATGGTCCTGGGTGGATGGCTCTCCTCTGTCACTCAAGTAGGTCCTGGGGGAAGGGCACTCCCTAGAGAGCAGAGTGATGCTCTGAAGCTCTGGCCTGGGCTACACCTGGGGTTCCCACTCCCTGGCCCCTAGGCCTGAGAGTCTGGGGCACTCACTGAGTTGAGGAAGCTGGTCTTCATCCTCCTGTGCCGAGAGCGGGCCACTGGGTGAAATTCCACCTCCAGAGCTGCAGGAGGAGCTCGGACGGAGCGTGGGTGGGTGACTGAAAACGGAGAGTGTTACTGGAAAATCTGAGGGATAGCAAGACCAAGGGCACAGAAGACAATTCCACTGAGAAGATAGCTTGAGATTCTCCTGGATCTCAAAAGAAGGAGCCAACTTCAATCCATGGCAGCCCCCTGGGGAAGGGCAGGGCTGGGCAGCGGGTGGAGGCGCCGTGGGCGAGGGCCTGCATTGTGGTGTCCACGGAGGGATTGAATGAGGCAGAGTTTAAGAAGCATGGCTAGCTTGAGTCTTTCAGTGGGCTCTGGGCTGGAGGTGCTGGCCCTAGATGCCTGGTACTTAGCCCTGGGGAGGTGTATAGTGGCCCAGAGTCCCCCAAGCAAGGTGGCTGGGGTGTGAAGTCTAGGCTGGTTGGTGGCGTGTGACAGTCACACCCTTAGCAGGAGGATTCCTCTCATGGGGGCCAACAAGGGGCAGGGTCCAAGGTCGAGTGACTCAGGCATGTCACTGGGTGTCGGGAACAAGGCTTGTCCTCCGCAGGCTTGTAGGACAGAGGTGAGAGCATCACATGTCCTGGAGCAGAGACAGCGCACGGAGGGGGCGGGGTGGAGGCTCACCACGTGGACGGTTTTGCAGCCTCACGAGATACTGGATGCCAGGGCAGCCCAACAACCGTGGCGGACAGGACTGCGTGGAAGTGCGAAGCAGGGGCTGGAAGGACTCCAAATGTGATTACAAGAAATTCTGGGTGTGCAAAAGATTTGCAGCCTCCTGCTCCACTGAGTGACTGCTGGTTCCTCCGCGCCACGCCTGCCTCCTGAACAGCCCGGCAGGTCTCAGAACTCCACCCAGGTTTATGCCAAGCCCTCCCCCTGCCTATGGACATCGAGGTTTTAATACAAGCTCTGGGACTCTTCTCTGGGATGCCTCAATCCCTGTGGGGCTGAGCCCACGTGGGGTGACACGGGCCCTCCCTCCTGGGCCTCTAGGTTGCCCCTGGCTTTAAGGGGTGGTTGTGTCTCACCTTTGCCATTCCATCCAGTGCCCAGGAGTGGGGCCCATAGTGGGCTGGGTATGTTCCACTAATCTACTCCGTCTTCCCCGCTGAGACCAGAGGGTTTGCATGACCATGTGTAGCTGCTGCCATGTCCCCCAGGGCCCATCCCACCTCTGCATGACTTTCCTCCATCTGCTCAACTTCCATGACCCTCCCCTGCAACCCGTTGGCCCAGGGCCCTCTCCTGGTTGCCGTAGCTCACCCTGGAGGCTGGAAGCATGAAGGAATTCATTCCCCCAGTCAATCAAGGACTGCCAGGAGCTGCAGCATGAACACCCAGCCCTGCCTCCCTGGGTGACCCTGGTGGACCCTGAAGTTTGCCTGCCAGCTCTGTTCAGGGAGGGACACGCTGGCCTGCTGCTGGGAGTTCCTTGGAGGCGGCTGACACCTCTCAGCCTCTTCCAGTCTAGACCCTACTGCAGGGAGCTGCCTTCTCCAAGGTCAGGCTCCTTCCTGGTGCAGCCCAGATGGGTACAGGCCCGTGAAGATCTGTCCACGTGGGGTCCACATGGGGCACCCCTGAAGGACCATGCAGGTTCCAGAGCTCCCATGGAGTCCTCTGTGGCTGCTGTCAGACCTCCTCTGCTGGACTGTCCCCCTCCCTGCTCCTATTCCCTTCCAGTGGCATAATAAAAATATCTTTTTGGTCCTGAGTGGCAGGGTGGCTTTTTAAAATTCCTAGTGAGCCTCTGGGCTCCCACTTGAATTCAGGCTAATGAGGTGTTTGATGGTAGGACTTGGACGCCTCCACATGGGAGGGGTCACCAGGGAAATCAGAGGATTTTAGAGGGTCGGAACTTCCAGCCCCTCCACCGATGAAATGAGGCAGAGTTTAGGAAGCTCGCGTAGGCATGGCTAGCTTGAGTCTTTTCAGTGGGCTCTGGGCTGGAGGTGCCTGGTACTTAGCCCTGGGGAGGTGTATAGTGGCCCAGAGTGCCAGAGTCCCCCAAGCAGGGGCAGAGATTGAGCTGTATGAAAAGTCTGGTAACGGTGGGGTTTGGTTTGTGCCAGGCTGGTGAGCAGGAGAGGGTCCCAGGTGCTGCCCACTAGGAGAGAGCGTCCCACCGCCGCACGCTTTCCCCTCCATCCGGGCATCTCTTCCATCTGGCTGAGTTGTGTTCTTTATAACAACCCAGTGAATGCAAGCATGTATTTTTCTGTGAGCCATCTGGAAAACTGGGAGTGGGTTCTGGGAGCCCCTGGTTCATGGTTGGCCTGGCTGAAGCATGGCTCCCCTAGGCACCCCTCTTGCAGAAGACATCTGGGCTCGTCTTGTGGAACTGAGATTTCTAACTTGTGTAATCCAGCTCCAGGAAGCTGTAGTGAGAAGTGGAAAACGACTTGGTGTGAAAGTAACTCCATAGACTTCCCCTTCCTCCTGCTGGGACTGACCGCAAGGATGTCCCTTCATAAATAACTTGAAGGCTGAATCCTATCTCGGTAAATGGACCTTCAACAGTGGGGCTAACTCAGAGACTCTCTCCATACACCCCCCAGAGGCACATGGGGCTGAGTCCCAGCTGCCCACGTCAGTCATAGGCCTGTCAACCTCCCCTGTGTCTGTTCCCCTCCTTCCTTCCCCTCCCTGTCCCTCTTTTCTTCCCCCTCCTCTACTGCTTCTCTTGGAATCACCTCCCAGCTAAACTGTGGATATTCAAATACTTGGCTCAGGCTCTGTGTCTGGAGAAACCTGGACCAAGTCTACAATACGTCTTGGTATCTGCCCGACGTGCTTCTTCTCTATTAAAATACTTTTTTTCTTCTCTTGTGCGATTTCTCTTTTAGATGATCTTTAAATGACTATAGCTCTTTAGGTTTTAATTAACCTCTTGAGTAAGCCATCCGTGCCTGTGGGACCAAAACATGTCAGTCTCTCCAGTGAAAACTCAGTGCCCTCCCTCCCCATGTTCTGATCTCAAAAGGTCTTCTCCCTGTTCTTTATGATATTCCAAATAATCCACTTGCCATGTTGGCTTCAAACTCTACCTGCAATACTCTGTAGAACTTTGAAAATCTATTTGTGAATAAATGGAGCACAGGGAATTGTTGGGACACTGAATCCTCTCTGTGATACTGTACTGGTGGAGACGTCCCCTTCAGGATTGTCCAAACCTATAGAACATATAGCACAAGTGAGCCCAAATGCAAACTGTGGACTTTGAGTGGCAATAACATGTGCATATTGTTCCCCCTGCTGCAAAAATATCTAGGCCTGGTGGGGGCTTTGACAATGGAGGAGGCTGTGCTTTTGTGGGGGTGGGAAGTGAATGGGAAATCCCCCCACCCTCTACGTAATTTCGCTGTAAATCTATACTTTTACTGTGAATCTAAATACTAAAGTCCATTTTTGAAGATCTGTTCTTTCTTACAGAATGATTTCAATTAATAAATGAAATAAGGAACAAAGGAAATATGGGATTATCCTTAGGATATCTCATCAACAATTGCTGTAGAAAGATCTCGAGACAGATGTTCTAATTAATGGGGGAGAATGTTACAAGAAACAGGACATTTGCACCACCTCAGTGAACTCGTTTCCCTCAATGCTTATTAACAACCACTGTGGTCTTAACACATGTTCACACATCTACTTCTTCTTGGAAACCAGTTCTCCCTGTGAGGGCAGCTGGACACGGTGACTCACTTTCAAGGAAGAGAGCAGCATCAAATGGCTTTTAGAAACATTTTCCTTAATTGTTGCTCTAAATAAAATATCAAAGATTTTGGTTTTGTTGGAGAAGGACAAGTTTTGTAGATTGCCAAGGCATGGTGATATCTGATAGATACAGGTATGGATAGATACCTGTAGACATATATATCTTTCTATATATATCCTCCAAAGAACCAGATTTTCTCCTTCAGGAACAATATCAATACCATTGAAGATGCATCAAACAGCATGGAACAGGTATGTGTGGGGGAATAGAGACTCTATCATGGAGAAACCTGTCATTTACCACCTTAACTAAGATCACCAGTGACAAGTCATGATCACATGGACATCATGTATTTCCCCTACTGAACCTACAAATAGTGTATGAAAGAAGGGCACATTACCTTTGTGGTACTTTCCCCCCTAAACCCATAACCTCAATCTAATCATGAAAGTTCAAATCAAAGACCATTCAATGCAAAATGCCTGATTGTTACTCTTCAAAACTTTCCAGTTCATGAAAGACAAGAGAAGACAGGTGTATCCATCCATTTTCTGTTCCTATAATAAAATAGCTGAGGTTGGGAACTTCATGAAGAAAAACAGTTTGTTTAGCTCAGTTTGGGGGCTGACAGTCCAAGGCCATGCAACCCCATCAGTTCAGCTTCTTGTCCAGGACCCTCTTGGCTGTGATATAACATGGCAGATGGCGTCATGGAGAAAGCAGAAAAGGAGATCATGTATGAGACAGGAAACCAGAGAATACAGAAGGGCCAGGCTTTCTCTCTTTTTATTTTTATTTATTTTTTATCTTTTAATGATTTTATTATTTTTAAAAATACACAACAGTAGTGGAATCCATTACAATCTTATTACATATATAGAGTACAATTTTTCATATCTCCATATATAAAGTTTGGTCACACCAATTTATGCCTTTATACATGTACTTTGTTTTTTGCATTATAATACTTAATCAGGCTTCCTCTTTTGATAAAAATTCACTTTCCAGAGAACTATCTCACTTCATGGCATTGGCATGAATCCTTTGCAAAAAATGATGCCCCCAAACCTAACCACCTCCCATTAAGCCCCACCCCTTAAAGGTCCCCTCACGTCTCACACTACATCACAAAGATGAGACCAAGCTTCACACCAATGAACTTCAGGGGACACACTCAAACCAATCACTAAATCACAGCAGCAGGAACCTGTCACAGTCTGGAGGTGATCAAGAAGACAAAGTGACTGTTATGGGCTGAACGGTGCCTCCAACCCAATGCCTATGTTGCTGGGCATGGTGGTTCACACTTGGAATCCCAGCAACTCTGGAGGCTGAAGCAGCAGGATCACAAGTTTGAGACCCAACTGGGGAACATAGCAAGACTTTATCTCAAAATTCAAATAGGGCTTAGAATATTTTTCAGTGGTAGAGCACCCTGGGTTGAACTGCAAAAAAAAAAAAAAAAAAAAAAAAAATCATGGGTTGACGTCCTAACCTCTTAGTACCTCAGAATGTGACCATACTTGGCAATGCGGTCTTTACAAGGGCAACAAAGTGTCAAAGCAATGCCTGATTGTTACTCTTCAAAACTTTCCACTTCATGAAAGATATGTCAGAGAGAAGGTGGCATCTACAAGCCAAGGAGAGACACAAACAAGAGACCCTTCCCCTTACAGCCCAGAAGGAACCAACCATGCTGTGCTAGCTAGCTTTCTGTTACTGTAACACATAACTGAGAGAAATCCATGTCCAGCGAGGAAAGGTTGTTTCAGCTCACAGTTTTGGAGGCTTCAGTCCTTGATCAATTGGCCCCATCCCTATGGCCTGTGGTGGGGCAGCACGTCATGGCAGCAACCATGGCCAGACTGCTCGCCTCAGAGCTGGGACATGAGAAACAAAGGAGGGAATGAGGCCCCACGTCCTTTCCGAGGGTGTCCACACAGTGATCTGAAGACCTCTCGCTGGGTCCCACCCCTTAAAGTTTCCACCACCTCCCAGGAGGACCAAGCTGGAGACACACCAGTCTTTGGAGGACATTTTGGATCCAAATTATAACATCTGCTCATATTGATCTCGGGCTTTTGGCCTCCAAAACTGTGAGCGAGTAAGCTTCTCTGGCTGAAGCTGCATTCGTCACAGCAGCCCTGGCGAACTCGGACGCCGACCACAGGCAGCGTGGGATGCCCGGTGGGAAGATGGAGCGAGCAGAGAAGGGGCACCCGTGGGAACACTGGTAAAATCCAAATGAGGCCTGCAGTTTAGCCAATGGTGGATTCATACCAGTATTAATCTCTTCGTTTTGACAAGTGTATAATGATAATACACGATATTAGCATTAGCAGAAGCTGGGTAAAGAATATACAGAACTCTCGACTGTCTTTGCAACTCATCGTGAATCTATATCAAAATAAGAATTTGCAAGAGGCTTGGGGTGCAGCCTGGTGGTCGAGCGCTTGGTTTCACTTCCACAACCAAAAAGAAAAAAAGTCTGAAACAGACTCAAAAACACTGCTTAGAATTTCATTTATTTAAGGTTCCTAGAGAAATCCATAAAGACAGAAGGTAATAATCATGGGCACCAGGAACTAGGAAGTGAGAATGGAGGGTTGGTGTTTACTGGACAGTCTCAATTTGGGAATAGTGGGTGGTGATGGTTTCACAAACATATGAACTGATTTATTTATGAATTTCCTTCTCTTTTTTTTTTCAGTGCTAAGAGGGCTTTGCACATGCTAGGTGAATGTTCCACCACTGAGCTGCTCACCGACCCCATACTCATTTTTTTGGGGGGGTGGGGGGTCCCAGGGATTGAACTCAGGGTCACTCAACCACTGAACCACATCCCCAGCCCTATTTTATATTTTATTTAGAGACAGGGTCTTGCTGAGTTGCTTAGCACCTCATCATTGCTGAGGCTGACTCTGAACTCCTGATCCTCCTGCCTCAGCCTCCCCAGCTGCTGGGATTACAGGTGTGCGCCACTACACCTGGCCCAACCCCGTATTCTTCTTCTTTTTTTTTTTTTTAAAGAGAGAGAGAGAGAGAGAGAGAGAGAGAGAGAGAGAGAGAGAGAGAGAGAGAGAGAGAGAATTTTTAAAATATTTATTTTTTAGTTCTCTCTTGGAGGACACAACATCTTTGTATGTGGTGCTGAGGATCGAACCCGGGCCGCACGCATGCCAGGAGAGCGCGCTACCGCTTGAGCCACATCCCCAGCCCCCCAACCCCATATTCTTAACGTGATTTTTCTTCAGCATCCAAGAGTATTTCCTATTTGGCGAAGGGGCTTTGGTTTCTCTTTCCTTTGCAGATGCTAATTGCTAGAACACGAGAAACTTGTCTTTTTAAAGGTTAATCTTGCCACAATCTTTAATTAGTCCAGAGGTTAAATCCTTAGCAATTTCTAGATAAATGATCCTAGCTTTGACGGACTGTCAACTTTCCTTTTTGCTTTCCAATATTTATTTTCTTATTGCATTGGCAGAAAGCAAGAGAAGCATCTTGATTTTGTTCTTGATTTTACCAAAATATTTTTCTCATATTTAAAGTCATGCAGTACATTGGGCGAAAAGCATTGTTAGGCTCTTTTGCCAGTGTACAGATATCATAGAGGATGCTCCTACAAACTGACATGGCTGTGATGTCATGGGTGGTACCGTCTTCTGCAATCTGTGTGGCTCATCACCGATGGAAACATGGTTACCTGGCGTGTGACCTTGTGGAGATGTTCGGTAGGTGCCAATCGCCCTATCAAAGCACCGCACTCTGTGTGGTTTAACGCCACAGAAGTGTGCTGTCTCACAGTTGTGGAGGTCACGTCTGAAACAAGACAGAGTTCCCACAAGACAGAGTCCCTCTGAGTCATGGAGGGGACCCTTCTTGCCTGTTGCCAGCTTCTGGTGGCGGACAGTGAGCCCTGGCTTCTCCCCTCCTGTCCCAGCACAACACCTTTTCTGTGTCTCTTCTCTTGGTTGAAGGACAGGGGCTTATGGGATTCGAGCTTGTCCTAACCTCACCAGAACTTGATTACATGTGTGAAGACCCATTTCCAAATAAGGTCCCATTTGCAGGTACCCTGGATTAGGGCTTTAACTTATCTTTTGTGGGGGACACAAACCAACCCCCACCCCGACTCAGTGGGCATCTTTTTTTTTCCATTTGTTTGTTTGTTCTTGATTTTTACCGAAGATGGTTCTCATGTTATCATTAAGTCAAACCATTTCTGTAGATCCCTGGAAATGGCCTTTAAGGAAATCGCCTCCTGTGTTTGCTCAGCATTCGTTTTCTTGTGTTTATCTTCTTTTTAATGAAAAATGAGCATTGAATCCATCTATCTCAAAATGTGGAAGAGACAAAAACAAGAGCCGGAAGGATACAGACCACGAGGGAACGTGTTTACTTAGCTTCCAAATGGGCAAAACAATCCAAAATATCATCCAAGGGTGCATGCACAGTTAAAGTGTTCTTTAATGTGATAAGCACCGAGCTTTGGGGGGGAAGTAGCCTTGGGGAAGGAAATGGGAATGAGACCAGAGATGGACTGGAAGTCCTAGAAGAAGACTCACACTATATTTGTCATATTTACTTTTAAAAGGATCTGAAACATGCAATGGTGTCAAAACAGGAATACAGCGGAGTGGAAGGCAGGCACATTGTGTTCTGCAGACCTCTTGACACACTCATTTTTTTTCATCA